CAAGGATAAGAAAAAAAAAGTCTGTACATGTTTAGTACTGACATTTTTTTTTGGCCCTGAATATTTTCAATCCATGGTTGATTGAATCCATGAATGTGGAACTCATGAATATGGAGGGACTACTGTATATGTAAGTCAAAACATAGATGATTCAGGGCTGGAATGGCAGTGTGGCTCTCAGGAGTCCTCAAGAATCCAGGCTGCTTCTACTCTGTTGTCTCACCAGGTGTGGTCTCCATTCACAAGATCAACTCATGACCTAATATGGTCGTTCCAGCTCCAGTCATCATATCTGCATTCCAACATTCCAACCAGGAGGACAGAAATGACATAGAAGAAAAGGAAAAGAACACATGCCAGTTGTCTTTTAAGGAAGGTTTCTAAAAGATACCATATGACACTTTTGCTTATCTCACTGGTTAGAACACACCTAACTGCAAGGGAGATCGAGGAATGTAGGCTTTAATCCAATTAACCTTATGCCAGCTAAAAATGGAGGGTATTATTTTAGAAGAGACTATGATAAGAAATGACCGGTAGCCTTGGCCTCACCTTGAAATAGGGAATTACTGGTAATACGCTTCCATCACCAACACCTTCATCATCAACCTCACTCAGTGCCTCAAATTCCACCATTAGTCAATCCACTACTCCAGCCAGAATGGTCTCTAGGCATCACACATGAACATGCCTTACAAAACTTTGAAACTCTGTACTCACATTGGTCCTTTTATTTAGAATGCCATCTCTCTTCCTCGCTAGCTATGGACATTCTACCCACCTTGGAAGGCTCGGTTCAAGCTCCATCTTCCTGTAAAAGCCTTTTCTTCCTTTCCCTTGTCCCCACAACCTCTCTCTTTTCTGAACTCCCATCACACACATTATCTATACTAGCCATCTGACACGTGGCATGTCTCAAATATACATGTTAGGTTCACGTGCATATCTTTCACCTTCAGCAAGATTTTAAGCTCCTTTTAGGCAGAAAATCTATCACGACATCTTTGTATGTTTCACAGGCCCTGGGCATGCATGTGCTCCTAAGACTCCCAGTACCTTGCCTCTTTGAAGTCAAGGTTGGGGAAATATGCATAAGACCAATAGTCAGGAGAAACAAAACAGAAATTTGGCTCTGACCCTAATCAGCTCTGTAACCTGGGGCAAGGGACAAAATTTCCCTGAGCTTCAAGTGTCTCATCTATAAAATAAAAGAATACATGCCTGCCTATCCTAATCCAGAGGGTTGTAATCTCTCAATCTCTCTCGCGCATTCTCTTTCTCCCCCCCACCACACACACCCTTTGTACAGTGCTAAACACCACAACAATTGTGTAGTTTCTGTCAGGGTTTTCTGACAGCAAACATCAGAAACCAACAACTCTGGCTATCTTGAGCAAAAAAGGGGTGGTTATCAAACAGCAGAGCAGATTGCTCCCCAAATCAAAGGGTGTCTGGAGACCAGACTTGGAAACAGAAGAAGTACAGGGCAGCTCTGGGGGAAGCAGGGACCTTTTGACCAGCTCATCAGGTGCATCTCCAGAAATGAATCAGTTTCTGAAGTTGTGCCATCCATCAGATTCAGGTCCTGGGGAGAGTGGGTGGCTGAGCTGCGGGTATGTGACCCTGCTCCAGCCCGAATCACCCTAATTTATAGTCCCACAAGGATTCCGCACAATGGAGGAAGGTCAAGTCCCCAAGGAAAATCAGGATGATATTATCAGGAGTAGGGTGAATGGAGGCTGGGTAACCAGAAAGTAGCAAATGTCCACGGCGGGGTTTAATAAACATTTGTTGATGAGTGATAGTGGCCCATTCCTTCGATTCTGAAGACATTTTGCACTTGAAGATACTATAAGCTATTTCTCTAGAGCTTGTCAGTGAACACCTTGGTGAACACCCATTTATCAGATTCCTTCTACCCATGGCAGTGAGAACAAAACCATACAGAAAGGAGAAACATAATTACTACCTCATGGAGGGAGAGCGCTGGGAAAGATCCATAAAATCTCAGCTCCTTCATGACCTGCTCAGAGAAATCTTTTCTGACCTCCCAACATTCTATTCTCTCCCAGCTCTGTATCTTCTCTGTTGTTCTTGACACAGTGCGTTACATTTGTTTGAGATTTCGATTAATGACTTTGTCTCCCAAAAGTCGTAATCTCTAGGAGGGCAGAGCCAACGTCTTTCTGCTCTCCTCTGTATTTCTTTTACCTATCCCAGAACTTGGCACATTGTTTAATAACTACTTATTAGATGAAAGAAATGAGTGAATAAATGAATGAATAAGGTGCTAGAAGGACTAAATTGGTCAGCTGCACAGCACTCAAGGATAGGTCCTTCCCACCACCTTTCCCTTCCAAGGTACATGGGGTGACAGGACAAAGGTTAAAGGTAGCAACAGGTTAGCTAACGCACCATCTACTAAGGACTGGGTTAAGCTATGCACTTTTCCCAGAATCCTCCCCTGGAGAATGGCTTTTGAGAAGGTCTAGCAGGTAGTGGCAGCAGACATCCACAGCTTCTGGGAGACAAAATACGTTATTTCCACTCTGGTCTGGGGTATCCCTTCCCTGCTGTGGGCATCGCCCCAGGCTAGGGCACTGTTTACCTGGATGCTATGCTACACAAGTGGCTGATCTATACAGGCCTCCTAGGACAAAATGCTAAAAAGCCCTCCAATTTGTATTGCACGTCATAGTCTACACAGCCCTTTCCTAATTATTTCCTTTGATGCTCACAGCAACCTATAAGACAGACAAGTGTCATTGGCTCCCTTTTATGCATGAAAAAATGAAGACTCAGAGTCTTGCTAATGGTTATACATCTGGGAAACTTCAAGGCCTGTAATCTCCATTTTTCCACACCATCCATGTGTAGAGGGACTCCACTTTTAGCATAAAAATTCTCAAGATCCTTTTCTGATCCTTACAGATTGCTCTCACCTTCTTGTCAATGAACAAAATGTTGCACTGCCCAGATTGGAGTGCAGTGACACCATCACAGTTCACTGCTGCCTCGAACTCCTGGGCTCAAGTAATCCTCCTGCCTGAGTCGCCTGAGTAGCTGGGACTACAGGCATGCACCACTACACCCAGCTAATTTTTCTGTTTTTTTATAGAGACAGGTCTCACTTTGCTGCCCAGGCTGGTCTCAAACTCTTGGCCTCAAACAATCCTCCCACCTATGCCTCCCAAAGTGCAGTTGTAACTCTTGATGGGACAGTTCTATTTGAGTTAAATCATATTAGCTTTCATCTTAGTTTAGATTGACATAGAAGGAGGAAAAAAGAGACACACAAAAGACAAACTTTGATTTCATTTGCAGTTCAGTTTAAAATTTATTTTGCCTTTGAGTTTGGAACTGACAAATTAACTCCATTTTCTTCCCATTTTTGACTCAAGTCAGGTGAACTCAATTTTATCCCAGGCAGTAAAGGCTCAGCTTTCCACCCCAACCCCAGTCCTAATGTTTTCCTCTCTGATGCAGGTCATGGCAAGTAGGTGATGATCAGTGACTGGAGAAATCTCCTATGACCTAACTGCTCCTCCTTGGGGGCCAGAGTCCCGAATGCATCTCCAATAAGACCAAACACAAACCACTCCCCACAATTCTGACCTCGGCCGTGTAAGACCACACTGAGATTTAAGGACGGTGTGGTGATGAGGAGCCTCCCTAGCTCAGGTGAACCCAGATTTGCGCTTCCTTTTCCTCAAATAGTGTCTGAGACTCCTATAAGCCTTTCATCAGTGGCCAAACCCCAAGAGCAGGTCTGGCCCACAACACAGCCACTAACACACAGCTGCCTCTTACCTTGCGCCCAGTACTGGGCTAAGCGCTTCATATAGATGACCTCACCTGTCCTCACAACCCCTCTGAGGTAGCAACAAGTACTAATTCTTCATTATATATGAAGAATCAGCTCAGCCGAATGAAGGAGGCTGCCCAAGGTCACACAGTTGAAAGGGAAAAGAATGGAGACAACCAATCCCCAGAAAAAGCCTGGAAGCCACAAGCAGAATCTTCGATACCCATGGAAGAGAGGTACCCATCTATCCTCACCCAAACTCCTCCCCAGGTCTTTTACAAGAGTAAAAATATAAATGTCTATTGTGTTTGAGTTATTATAAAATCTGGGGGTTTATGTGTTGCAGCAGTGCTCCATACAGGCACCTACACTGATCTTCGCAGGCTTCTTTGAGAAGACCAAGGATGCTGATTCTGAAGAATTAGTAGTTGCCAACTAGGCAAACATGAGGGCAGAGGCTTGCACCTAGTCTTTCTCTGGAAACTGGACTTAGGAACTGATGCCAGCCCAGTGGAGGCCAGTTTCCTTGGTGGTCTCCTGCCAGTCTGGCCTTACAACATACATCTGTCTCCTTCCAGGCTCTCAGCAAGAGACAGAGCCAGCTTCTAATGTGCAGTGGGTGAGCACAAAGGAGGGGTGGCAGGGTTCGAACAATTGCAGTTAGGGGAGAAAACAGACAAAAAAATGATGTCACCCTTCGAGCATATTTCCTGGTCTTACATTCATACTGTTTCTTTACTTCTTTCCTCCGCAGTCGTAATTACCCATCCACATAGCACACTCAAAACTCTCAGGAACTTTGGGAGGTTCTGTCAGGGAGCACCGTCTGCACCCCGCTCTGCTCTTCTGACTAGGCACTGCCTTCAGCCCTGCATGAGAAATCCTTCCCCTCTGCGCTCATGTCCAAGCAAAGTTTCACTCAATGCGTATCGCAAACTGCTCTGCCCTGAGTGAACTTGATGGTGACGATGGAATGCTCCCATTGTGCCACCTTCTATGGGGCATTTTATAAAGACTGGGGTCTTCGTCCATCTTGGCAGAAGGTTAAAGACCCTTTTCTCCTCACGTTTTGATGCAGCCATTCTCTCCGTTCATTTAAAGTTTTGCCATAAGCTCGTCCCCATGGTGCTGTAGACAAAAAACTCATTTTCCCTTGGTTCCCTGCCCACCACCCCACCCCTGAATAAACAACAGGTCATTTGTAAGAGGTTTTTAATTTCATCTTGGTACGCCATTAAGGAGTGGAATAAGAATCTCTATTCGTTTTCACTCACATAGTATCTGCTACATTTCTCCAGCGAGTCTTTACCACAGAAACCTGTGGGGGTAATACAGCATCTGCATAATTTTCACTCACTGACTGGATTGGGTTTCTTGATGGTTCATATAAATTATAAACAAGAGCACAAAAATCACACAACATAGACTCTACCATAAGGGGACGTGTTCCTTCTGGCCTTGCAGAGAGTGATGGGAACGTGTCCTGTGATCAAGTCTTGAATGACGTCCCCAGGAATAAGACCAAGTCTGTCACGATCCCTCTCAGATGAGTCCAAGCTCACCATCTGTCTTCCCTAACAGCTTGTTCTGGCTTTCCAGGAAACCTCTTGGCACAGAAAGATCCCATCCTAGCACCACAACTGGAGACCAGGGTGTGGAACTGTCCCCGTGTACAATGGCTTCTGGGTCTTCTGTGCTGAGGGTTGGAAAAGTAAGCCAGGAGGAAGAGCCCTGGGTCTCCACCTGGACCCCCTGCCTCTATGAGTTCTGCTAGGCTCTTTAGAAATGGACCCTCTGAAACAGGGGGTCCCCAGCCTTTTCTGTAAAGAGCCAGACAATAGAGATAGCACATATGTCAGGCTTTCTGAACCACGCACATCCTGTCATATAGTCTTTTTCTCCTTTTTAAAAACGTGAAAACCATTCTTTGCTGGCAAGCTATAAAAAACAGGACTGCAGACGGTGGTCTGCCCACCCCTGCTCTAGAACACTGTCATGCTCCCCTGCCACCCCCTCTGCCTTAACTCCTCCCCATTCAAGAGCTCCGGCATCCCTCTGTGCTTCCCTGAGCTGGCATCTCCACAGCCCAGACTTTGCAGAGGGAGCTCTGCAGGCAGAGTTGCCCTCGGGGGCTCCGAGTGCAGGAGTCCTTCTGCCACAGCCCTGGGCAGCCTCTTTTGCCAAGTGAGTGGTCTGGTTGTATTTTAAACTAATATCAGATATTAGCCTCAGCCCCACTCATGTGTCCTGGGGGTAAGTTAAGCCTTGGTGTTTCCCTGTGAGGTAGGTACATATGATTAGCCTCACCCACACCCGCAGATGCCAATGCTCAAGAGCAGAACTAAGGGTCCTAGTGCCGCCCAACAACCACACGTTAGAATTGAAAAGAAAGCCCAAGAGTATGAGCTTGACAGTTGCTAAGAACATGACCAGGGACTGCTCTGTCCCACCCGAGCCCAGTGATTCAACCCCAAAGAGAGCACAAATCCAAGAGAGAACACTGTCAGCCACACAGAATTGCTTTCCAGACCTCAGTAAACACTCTGAAAACAGAATGAACTCAAGTACTCAAAGCTCTGGGCTAGGTGGAGCAGCCCTCTCTGCCCTGCCGACAAGTCTCTTCAAACTAAAAATAAAGTTTATAAAAGTAAATTATCTCATTTTATAACTTAAGTGCATCAAGCATTTCCTTAAATATAGTTCACACTGAAAATAAAGTTACTTTTGCTGTACAGTTGGTGTCTGTTATAATTAGGAATAAACTTTGATGATAAAGTATGAAAGGTTACACACTCACACACACACATCTATCTATCTGTCCTTCTGTCTATGGGTGTATGGGTGGATAGACATATGCACCTCTTGACAAGAGCTTCCCCAAAACGGTGGGAAGTTGTTAGGAGTCTCTAGGCATCTAGTTTGCATGAGAATGTCTATATTAAAAGTCCCTGTCCTTAATGATAAACACATCTTCATATCTAACGCTAAGACTCTTATTAGAAACATTAAACTATGCAATCCATAATGTATTCAGTCTTTGGAAATGCTGAGCTACACCATATCATTATACAACAGCATCCCCAACAAAACTCCCACCCCAACCCACCTCTTCCCTGGCCTCCCCGTCCTAAAGCCAGTGACCCCTCACATAATAAGGTTGTTGCATATGGGAGCCTAGCCACAGAACTCTGGGGAAGACTCAAGAGGTGAAGTAAGAATTCTGCATGGAATACAGGTGATCAATGGGGTTTCCCACTCTGGACTGCAGGGGCCCGGCTTCTGAGGTTGCTAGGAAACAGTCGCCCAGGTTACTGAGGGAGGTGTCGTCGCTATCCAAGTCATGGAAGAGGGGCTCAGCACCTGAAATGGAAAGGAAACACTGGCATGAGTGCAAGAAGTGGCTTATGTCAGTGCTAGGAAATTCAGCTGGATTCAGAAAATCATTGTCTGAGAGAACCCCACAGGTGGAACTTTCTACTGGGTGCTGGCGAAAGGGTGGGTATGGGAGAGAAGTACTTGAAAAGCAGAAGCGGGCCATAGTCCCTGCACACAAAACGTCTGTAGTCTCTTTAGGGGGCTAGTGTCCAAAGTGCAACAAGTGAAAACAATGTAAACCAGGATACGACAAAGAGCTAAATTGAGTGCAGTGTAAGCAAATGTCAGAGCGTCTAGACGGGGAGTGTGGGAGTAGGCAGGGCATGTCGCCAGAGGCTGGAGAGACAGGGGCTGGACTCCTACAGAACTTGGGCCTCACAAATGGTGCTTCAAGGAGGGATGGTTAAAAAAAATTGGCTCTTCGAGTTAGGCTAATGAAACCTCCTGCGGTGGCATCTCTCAACCAGCAAGCATACACGGGGTGTCTGCTGTTTCCCCAAATTTGTACTTCAAAGAAAAGGAAGGAAGGCACCTACCCTCAACTAATTTATGCCCTTGACAGAAAAGCCGGCAGGGCACACTGTGGAATGGCTGGGAGACCGTGGCCACCAGGACCCGGAGGCCAGGTTTATCGCATCCACTTCAAACAAACTAGAATTCGTAAAACTTGTCATTGGCCTTTAAATATTCGTTTTACTAAAGGACTCATCACAGGGGTCTTTTTAGATGCCTGAGGCTCTAAAAATTCAAGAATTTATTTTAAAAAATTCACTTGGCCTGCTTTTCCATAGCTATGGAGTGAAGTTTCCTTCTCCTAAGGAAGCCAAGAGCATGGATGTCACTGAATGTGCACATTTATATTCACAAATGTACCAATGAATGGAGTTGGCCAAAGAAGGGCCTGCAGAGGGCTGGACCTTAATAAATGTTTGCTGAATGTGTGATATGGGAAGGTAGGGCTGATTTTAACAACAGAATTTGTTTTCAATGAAGGCAAAAGAAGTTCATTGACAAAACCTGTGCGCTGAGGCCTGTATCTCCGATACTAATGTTTCAAAGGTTTGGGGCATAAAACTCTTTTTACCTATCAGGGTAATATATCACAGATTACACAGTATAGATCAATACATCATATACAGCACTGATCTTGTCTGTGTAAAAACATAGTAGCCTATGCTTGACTCTGAGCTTGAACTTGAGCCTTCACTTCAGAGCTCACGCCCTCCACTCCCCCCCACAGGGTCCTCAGGCCCTCAACTGTTGTCCATTAGCTTAAGCAGCAAGCTGGGCAAGTGGGGAGGCTTGGCTTTCCACACTCAGCATTTAAATCAACCCCAGTTGGGGTGGGGTGAGTATAAGAGAGAGACTTTCTACTTTACAAGTGAGTTTATGTTTCATGAATCAAATTGGAGCATCTACTAGTATCCATAATAGGACAGTCCAAGTAGGAAATGTTTCTGTGTTTTTTATGTATTTTCTTTCTTTAAGTAAAAGTTTGCTCAATTAAGACCTCTGCCTGTATCAGCACTGATACTGCTTGCAAACATGTAAGTGTAACATTTGGCATAAAATGCAGAACTTGTGGAATTCAAGCACAACAAACAAGTCTACAATGAAAGCACAAGCTCCTATTTAACAAGCAGTAAGCTTTGGAAACAAGAACAAATGGAAGCATTGCTAATGAATATACATGTGGGTCTTTCTTTTGTAGCCATAGGTTAGGTGATTCTCGCAGTATTTTGTGGGGCACTTGTTCTGTTTGGGGGTGTAAGGGAGCATCTGGGAACTACACAGAAGTGTTTGGAAGGGAATGAGAACCCCACGCTAGTTGTGAGAGGGTTTGAGTCCCTCTTACCATAGGGGTGCATGTGGTCTCCAGGCATCTGAGGTGGGGTGAGACCCTGTCGGAAGGGATCAGAGCTGTAGACACTCTGCTCGATAGCCAGGAGCTGCTGGGGGGTAGGCAGAGTTGTGTAGGGATTCATGATTCCTTCCATTCCAGCGCTCCCACCACCATTTGTCTGAGCTGTGGGACAAAGAAGAAGGCAGGTCATTCTCAACATGCACCCAGCATGTTACTTCCTGGGTCCTGATTTCCTCACTACAAAATAGAATGAGGTAACATAAGTGGTCCCCAACCTTTGCCCCACCAAAGGAAATAAGGATGAGGGTAGGGGCTGGACAGTAGAACTTTGAGAATATCCTTGAAATATGTCATTTAAATAAAAGATTTTGACTCTATACATAGGTTTCACAGTTACTGGAGTAGATGACTCTAAAGATTCTTCCAGCAATAAGCAACTATAAGCCCATCAGTCAGGTAGGAATCATGATGCTGGCCCAGCCGAACTCATGGGGCTGATACGAAGATTCCATAAGATTGTGCTGATATGCTGTGGATTACAGCTTATGCATAGAATGTTATGAGCAAGAGTAGACTCAATTCCTACCTCCACATCTTGCTGGGTTTTTCTGAACACTGGGAGAACAGTCTATTTCCCACCAGCCTCAGTTTTCCTAAATCCACCCCAGGAGCTTTCCTTATAATTCTTTAACAGAAGTGCAAACACTGTGAGTTGTATTCTCCTAATGCTTTGATGCATTCCTCTCCCTTGAACTTCACAGGAGTCCTATGGAATAGGACTAGCAGGCACCATGACTCCACCCCGAGGATACATATCCCAAGGCATATGAAGGGGGAAAAGTTGACTCCAAACTAACTTTAGGGTTAGAGTTAGGGTTAGGGTTAGGATTAGGGTTAGGGTTAGGATTAGAGCTGGTGCAGAATTCAGACCTCCTGACCAGCTGGCTGCTCCACTCTTGTGCCTGAACCAATACCCATTTTATTTTCCCCCTAAACCTCTATCTTTTGGTTAACATATTGTTTCACTTAGGAGGCATGAAGCCAAGACAACTCCTGGCTGCAAGGGTCAAGTGTTGGACTAAGCCTGGATTAAGTGTCAAGCACAAGGCAGGGTCCATGTAAGGACAAAGGGCTCTATTGAAGGGCCTGAGAACTGACATCAGATTCTACAGCCTTCAAAGTATGGTCCATAGACAGCAGCGATGGCATCACCTGGGAGCTTGTTAAAAATGCAGAATCTCAGGACTCACCCAGCCCTTCCTTATGAATCAGAATCTGCAATTTACCAAGATCTCAGGTGGTCCATGTGCACATCAAAACACAAGAAGCCCTGCTCTGAGATACAATCAAGGAATTTTGGATGGCTGACTGGAGTGGAGGGACATACCTCTTTAAGAACTTTTTTGTTCTAATACAGTTATTCTTGATTTTTTGTTCTTTTAATGTCCTTGAAGGCTTCCACAATCTTTCTTTCTTCACCCTCCTTCCTAATCCTAACACTACCCCTATTTCAAACCAAAAAACCATACATCCAGGTAGAGGTGAGTTAAGGCAGCACAGCCTAGTGAGATATAGTCAGAGTTGTAGTCCCAGCTCCATCTCTTACTGATTTAGGATCATGTTGGGTCTTGCAGGGCCTTTGTTTGCTCATCTGTGAGATGGGGATGATAGCTCCCCCACTCACCTCAGAGAGTGGGTGTTGTCAGAGTCAAGTCGACACAGATGAGAACACTATGGACTATAAAAGTTCTTGATGAGGGAGGGGATTATTATTTTACTATCACTACTTTTACTACATTGCATTATTTTGGGAAGGGGTAAGTCAAATTGGTGCTTTCTATTAAATTCATTAGCCTGGAAAGAGGACTGAGCAAGATGGGAAACCGGACATGTTGACTAAGCATGTAGTCCTGACACATTCCCCTACTGTGGTGGGATCCAGGCCCAGGGCCTCTGGATGAGGTTAGTGCCACCTCCAATCAGCATTCTAGGCTACAGAGCAGGTGCCCTCACCCCTCTCTCGAGTTCCTCATGGCTCAGTTCTCACTCAAAGGCCTACTCTCTCAGCTGGTATGGATTAGACTTCCAGATCTGTCATTCAAAGAGCTGGGTAGTGAGAAGCCTCCTGTAGGAGCGGCCTGGACTCCCGCAAAGGTGGGCTGGGAGGAGCCATCAACTTACCAGAACTCAGCCTCTGGGTATTCTGCTGATCTTGCTGCTGCTGCTGCTGCCGCCTGGCCAACTTCTTCATCTGGGGAGAGGACCATAGAGTTAGAAGTCAGATGCCCTGTAGCAGGCTCACGAAGCAAAGGGGAACCTAGAAGTGACCTCTTCCCTGTCAAAGGGCTTGCTGGTTAAACAGAGGAATCATTTTTGTAGCTTTTACTCAGTAAAGGAGCCACACTGAGAAACAGTGCCTCAAGTTAGCATCCCAGCTGAGAGCTCATCTACATTGCAGCAGTAGAAAGACAGCCAGCTGGGAAGCAGGAGTACAGCTTGTCTTAGTAGGAACAAGGATTTCCCCTCAGCAAATAAGACATGCTGTTTGAGTAGTGACAGTTTCACATGAGGTAATAAGTGTGTGACAGTGGGCTCTGCAGCCCAGCATAGATGTATGGAGCAAGAGGCTGCTGATGGGGTGTGACTTGAGGCAAGCCAAGAGGCTCTTCCCTTCCCACTTCACATCTGTTTGCCCTTGTGTTTGAGACAAGCCTACCCAGAGATTCACACCTCTGGGAAAGGAACTGTCTCCCAAAACACCGTGCTATCACGCAAGCTTCCTTGAAGCAACAGTTCAACCCAATGTTTCTCAAACTGTGTTCTGTAGTACCTTAGGGTTCCATGAGATGAGTGTGAGTGTGCATGTGTAGAGAAAACTATAATTTTAAGAAAATTTCTTTACTATAAGATTTCTCAGAGCTTTATTTATTTATTTATTTATTTTTGAGTTAGAGTCTCACTCTGTCGCCCAGACTGGAGTGCAGTGGCCGCTCCCGGCCACCGCAGCCTCGACCTGCTGGGCTCCGGCGATCCTTCCGCCTCAGCCTTCCAAGTAGCGGGAACTACAGGCATGTGCTACCACACCTGGCTGATTTTTTGATTTATTGTAGAGATGAGGTCTTGCTGCCCAGGCAGGTCTTGAACCCGCGGGCTCAGTCAATCCACTCACCTCAACCTCCAAAGGTGCGGGATTACAGGCTGAGCCACCGAGCCCGGCTTCTCAGGGCTTTAAATGAGCTCCTCTGCTTTATGAGTCCATAGGCTACAGGGCCTCTCAAACTTTTTCTGATGGAATAACACATCAACAGCCCTGTTCTGAGGAATTAAGTTACAAAACTTCTTCCCTAACCAATCATGATGAAATGTAAGATAGTAACTTGTTAACTGTGATATTGTAAAATATATATTTCATCTTTGACCCTGTTTCCTGGCATACAAGTCCTAAACTATTTGGAATCTCCAGAGTAGTATCTTCTTGTATGCTAATGATTGGTGGCTGTCACCCCCTTCAGGATGGGGACTGGTCTCCAGAGAGACCCCGGCAGGATTAGAGGGTTAGGACTTTCAGCCCCATTCGCAACCTCCAGAAGAGGGAAGGGAAGAGGGGCTAACGGCCCTCACCAATGGCCAATGATATAATCAATCATGCCTACATAATGAGGTCTGGGTCTGGAAAACTTTTGGGTAGCTGAACAAACACGTGGTGGTTCCTGGAGGGTGGGGCACCCTAGGTGGACATGGAAGCTTCCACCCACCCCTTTCCCTATTCCTCACCCTCTGCATCTCTTCATCTGTATCTTTTGTAATATCCCTTATATTAAACCAGCAAACAAAGTGTTTCCCCAAGTTCTGTGAGCCACTCTAGCAAATTAACCAAACCCAAAGAAAAGGTCAATGGGAACCCTGATTTATAGTCTGTAGGTCAGAAGCACAGTTAAACAACTGGAGCTTACAATTAACATCTGAGTGGGGGGAGCAGTCTTGGGGACTGAGCCCTCAATTTGTGGGAGCTGACACTATCTCCAGGTAGACAGTGTCGAAATTAGAGGATACCCAGCTGCTGTCTACTGCAGAATTGCTTGCTTGCTTGGTGTGTGTGTATGTAGAAAACCCCCAGCTCCCCACACATTTGGTCACAAAAGCATTCTGTGTTGATTGCTGTGTTGTGAGAGAGAAGGAGACAGAGTTTGTTTCTTTCTCACATTATCCATTAATGATCAGGTCCTAAAGAAATGAGCTACAGGACACATGTATATTTAGAGGTAGGAAGATACATGAGTAAAAGGCTGTGATAGGGAAATGCAGACCGTGGTAGGATCCAAAGGGCAGTATGATGGTTGGGGCCTACATGAGTTAGGGCTGGGCCCTGGAAAAGGTGAGTGAAGGTGTTTACTCCACCATATCACTCAGCAACCTTCAGCCAGTCATAAGTGTGCTGCTTGGGGTTCTCTAACATTTTAAAAGAATTTTGGTGTCTGGGTCAAATAAATGTAAATTACCAAAAGGCACAGGAAGACATTTATTTGTACAAGTGGCTGACCAGATTCACAGTCATGGACACTAGGAAAATAAAAGTCATTTCACTAAAACAAATGCCTTGCCTCTCCCTTTCTGCAGGGCTGCTGGGGATAAAATGATTGTTGATAACAGAATTTTTGAATCAAGAGGACTACTCTATCCAGTGAGTTCAGATTAGAAAACCTGGCAGCAAGTACAGTGCTCCACTATTATTTCAAGGGCACGAGAACAGAGATAGATGAAAGTAAGCAGCAGATTACCTTAGCTCTCTGGTTCTGGAACCACACCTGGACAACACGGACGCTCAGCCCTGTCTCTGCAGCTAGAGTCTCCCTCACCTTGAAAAAATGAAATATTAGAAATATAGCAACACTGGCCTCTCAGGGGAGGAGGCAGAACATTTTCTATATTGTATGTGAGGAGGCCAAAAGATACCATCTGCTACAGGAGATGGCTGGTGTTTAATGTTCAGCATAAGCCCAAACACAAGAACTTGCTTCCCTCCAGGTAGAGAGCCCTTCACCAGGTAAACAAAGGAACAAGTCCTTATTCATTTAGACGCATACTACTCCTGAGAGGTGTTTCTGGATTTCTTACTTTGGGAATTAGGCCTTCACGTGGCTCTCGGACATTAGGGAAGTCTATTGTTGTGACTTAGCTATAAGCCATGTGTATGCACTAAACTACTTAAGGAGAATCGACAGTGAAAATCATCTTGCGAAAGCAAATGGTTCTCTCTTCTCTTCTAATTCGTTGGCCTGAATTTTGGTTTCATTTCTCATCACTTTAGGTGATGTTGGGTGTTTTATGAATATTCACGTTCACTGCTACCCTGAGTGAGTCCTGCCCAATGAGAATAAGATGTGAGCCCTTGGGGCATCCCCTTCGGGTCCCCTCCCACTGTGGGAGCTTTTCTGTCCTCTCAATAAATCTCGCTTTCTCAAAAAAAAAAAAGATGTGAGCCCTGTGGAACCTAGCATGGCCAGGTAGACAACACAGATGCGGGGCCAAGCCCTGGGGCTGTGGTAGAGATAGGACAGCTGGGATCCAGATCATAAAGAGACATATTTAAACACCTGCCCACCACATGGGCACACAGCAAGGGACTGACACAGTGTTGAGAAGAGGCAAGAAGCACAAACTTTCAAAGAGGGAGTCTGAGAGACACAGCTCCTCTTGACTCAATTCTAGGGTCGAGAGAGCGCCTTGAATAAATGCATAAGCAGAGCCACCAGAGGTCTTGAGAAATACTTCGTGTCATCCTTCCACTAGAGCTGAGGCTTAGGAGAAGGGGAACGATTAAACCAGGTTTTTACAGCACATCCTTCTGCTAAGCCAACTGAAATAGGCGTGCTCAGGGGGCCCCACCTCCACCTGCTGAAACCCTACCCATTCCTCAGAGGCCCAGCTCAAGAGCCACCTGTTCCACAAGGCCTCTGCCTGATTCCCCAGACTGAAGTGACCTTTTTCTTCCCTGCAGCTCCTGGCTGCCCCTCTGTGATGGTCCTCGGAGATCTCTGTCTAGTGTTACAGTAACATGTGCACGTATCACCTCCTTGCTGGTGGTCTAGGAGCTGCCCAGGGACAGGCGCCCAGCACAGGGCCATACAGGGGTTGGGAGTTCAGTGCATGTGGTATAAGTAAACAAATGAGAAAGATTATCATGTGTCCTGAGGCAAGCTCACTTTAGAAGTATTTCACTCCATCAGTACCGCCTTTGGAGCACAGGGATCTGCAAGGGCCGGAAGGAAGAGCATGCAGTTGAATCTTTTCAAAGGTCAAGAGTTGAGGCAGACTGTTTTATCACTCAACAAATCTCGACCCTTCCCTCCCCTTTTCCAAGGGGGTGTATGCTTCACCATTGCACCTACGTTGGGTTAAGCCCAGCCTTGCTTTGCCCACAGGATGTGATGTGTGTGATATCCAGGAAGAGATCTGCAATGAGTTTCCTGCTTTGACTCAGACTCTTTACTTATGACATTTCCATGAGAACAACATGCCCAGGAAGGCGCTGCTCCTTCAGCCTGGACCCTTAAAAGAGGGCTGAGCCTGTGCCCAGTGAGGCCGTAGCCAATGTACAGTCCTGGAGGAGGAAACCAATGTTAGCTGTGAGCCACTAAGACTTTGAGATTTTCTTTTTTTAATCACGGCAAAAGCTGATTAACACTGATGACTCAGGGAAAACAATGTTATAAAAATTTTAAAGATGTATTTCCCTTATGAATTCCAATAAAGAAGACTTTTTTCTTTCTTCTAGCTGCATAAAATAGTACTCACCATATGGAAAGCAGGCATAGATGGCAAGCACTCAATAAATGAGCCCTGCTATTTGTGGCAGAGACTGCTAACCCTCTCTGATATCCATTCTGTCCTTCTCCCCATTGGTAATTGAATCCCCAAGTTTTAACAGACAGACTCATTTCTCAGAGTCCCTTGCAGAAAGTGTGGCCATAGGAGTAAATTTGGCTAATGCACACAAGTGGAAGTGATTTGAGCAGCTCCTGGGTATGTCCTTAAAAAGGCAGATGCTAGCCCTCCACTTCCTCATTCTCTACCCTGGTGGCTGGGAATGTGGTGACAACTGAAGCAACATCTTGGACCCACGTAATAGATAATAGAGCCGTCTACTAGTCTTGGCTTACTCACCACTGAACTGTGACATGAGAGAAAAACAGAGTACTATCTCATTAAAGCACTGTATTTTCTTTATATGAATGTTTATAGCAGCTCTATTTACAACAGCCCCAAACGGGACACAACCCAAACACCCATCAGTAGGTGAATGGACAAATCACCATGGTGCATCCATACAGTGGGATACCATTCAACGCCAAGAAGGAATGAACTACAACATGGATGAGTCCCAACGTCACCACACCAAGTGGAACAGGTCAGACAGAAAAAAAGTACGTGCTACAAACCTCTGTATTCTTGTACTCTTTATTTTACAGCATCTTGGTCTCTACCACAACTGTACCTGTCATTATTATTATTCCCATTGCACTCCATGAAATGAGAGGTGAGAGTCATGGGCCATTTGGAGTCAATGTACATGCATGGAAGCTTTAGGAGATTCTGTTGCATCCTGACCACAGCTTAGTGGTCCCTAGAGTCTACAGCAGGGCTCAGGGCCACCTGTGAAGGCTCTGTCTGCTCTAAGCCCAATGCCCACTGAGGTCCCAGAGGAGTCCAGGTGCACAGTGAAGTGGGTCCAGTTCCCTTTCCTCCCTTGCTCCCTCCTGTACCTTCCTGCAGGGCTTGGAGGATACTTCAAATGAGGCCTTGAATGCTCTCCTCTGCTGGGTTGTCAAGATGGTTCTGGGGCGTTTGGGGCGCTTATGGTCCTTGCCTTCCTCAGCAGCTCCTTTCCCTGCCCCATGGGCTGACTTGCAAAGACTTTCTTCATCATCACTTTTACCTAAAAGGAGCAAAAAACAAGGTTGTGAGTCCCTGAAAGCCACGTCCTAGAACTGTATGTTGTTCCATAACAAGGCCCTCGAGTCCACACTCCCACGATGGCTTTCTGTATGAGTGCAGTGATCCACGTGGTATTGATCTGAAAGCTTCCAAGAAGAGGCTAAGAAAGATAATTCTAAAATCTAGAGGTAGGAACCAGAATGTTCACCATTACACCTCAAGGTTTTATCATAGTTTAGTATCCTGAGACAAGTTACTTAACTCTGCATGGCTCAGTTTACTCATCTACAAAATAGTGATATCAGAGAATCTACTTCATTGGGGTTATGGGTTAAATGAGTTTCTACAAATAAGGCACTCAATACTGCTTGTAAATGCTCAATAAATGTTGAAATGTTGGTTATCAACATTATTTCTGAGATGACATTTTTCAAAACCAGACCTGGAAAAGTTACATATAATTTCTTAGACACTATGCCTGTAATTCTAGTCACTGCTAGGAGACAGAAAATGTAACTGTTTAAAAGACCATAGAGACCAGCATTAGTTTACCTTCCAGTACTGTTAACAGAATGGACAGATAACATCCATACTTGGTCAAAATTGCTTGACTATAAAGTAAATAACTCTCTATTAAAGTAACTGTAAAGTGATGTGAATTACTTCAACTCTAAAAGCAGTGAACAACTCAAGGGATAACTTTTATTTTTATTTTTTTATTTTTATTTTTTGAGTTGGAGTCTCACTCTGTCGCCCAGACTGGAGTGCAGTGGCTGCTCCCAGCCACTGCAGTCTCGACCTGCTGGGCTCTGGCGATCCTTCCGCCTCAGCCTTCCAAGTAGCTTTTAAAGGAAACAAAGCCCCTGCATCCTTTTCCAGGCTCTCTTTGCATCCTATAGACATCACATTCCTGAGAAGGTACTTCCAGAATCTGGGAAGTACCCGGCTGAGAAAGACTTCTTTCTACTTGTGGCATTAAAGGCTGTAGGCAATTGTAGTGCCAAATGAGTCTCTCAGGAACCTCATTTATCTCCAGGTCTTCACAGAGCTCAGCTGCCCTCTTTCCTCTAGTGAAAACCTCTGCCTTGAGGGCTTTCTCCTGTGCCAGTCCCTACTAGTCACTTCAAGAAAGCCAAGCTGAGGAGGCCCACTGAGTGAGCCACACATTCTATCTCCTCATGCTGGCTCTCCTCTGTAAATGATGCTCATGTACATTTGCTGCTTAATTTAGACATTAGCTGAGCTTTAATTCTTGGTTTTGCCAGAGCCAAAAAAACTTGTCTTGTTTGAAAGGACAATATCTTCATCTTTCTATGAACATTTAAACCTCCAAGTTTCAATATGAAGGGAACACTAAAAGGTAAATTCCCATTTCTTTTCTGAGTTGGGCTCACCAGGCTGGAGGGCAGTGGAACAAGCACAGCTCATTACTCTCTTGTAGCTGGGACCACAGGTGTACACCACCATGCCTGGCTAATTTTTTGTGGAGAGATCTCACTGTGTTGCCTAGGCTGGTCTCAAACGACAGGGCTCAAGTAATCTTCCCACCTTGGCCTTCCAAAGTGCTGGCATTACAGGTGTGAACCACCGCACCTGGCCATGATTCTTTCAATACAACTAAAAAGGGACTCCAAGGTTGCTCTTTTCTAGGGGGGATGCAGGAATCTGGTCCCAGTCATACCTTGGTGTGAAGGTTCTAAGACCTTTGTAGAAGAAGGTTTTCACAATGGCAAAGAAAAAACAAGCATTTAAGAACTAAAAGCCTCAGGAAAATGAGAAGACCCCACAAGAGGATGAAAGTTAGAAAAAAGAAAACCTTCTGGACATGGTGGCTCATGCCTGTAATCCCAGTGTTTTGAGAGGGCAAGGCAGGAGGATTACCTGAGCCCAGGAGTTTGAGACTAGCCTGGGCAACATTAATGAAACCTCAACTCTACAAAAAAAAAAAAAAAAATTAGTTGGGTGTAGTGGTGGTCTCCTGTAATTCCAGCTGTTCAGGAGGCTGAGGCAGAACCACTGCCTAAGCCCAGGAGCTCAGTGAACTGTGATTGTGCCCCTGCACTCCAACCTGGGTGACAGAGTAAGACTGACTCAAAAAAGAAAGCCACTGACTGCACAGATTTGCCCTTGCTAGGCCCCATTCATCCCATTGCGTGGAGACTCCCCAAATCCTGGTATTTAGTGAGACCACGCACTTTCTTTGGTGGTGGACTTCCCCGGGTGAAAAAGATGCTCCCCTTGCTTTAGCAATGCCTTCAGTGACATTTCTGAGGAAATGGGACTAACCCTCCCCTAAGGATCATGCAGACCTCCTTCAAGGCAGGCAACAAGAAGGGGTACTGGGGTCCTCCTACAGCTGCCACTGCTCATCCTTGCCTGGACATGTACATTTCCAAAGAGCTGCTGTGCCATTGTGAACTGAGAGAGAACACCTCCTAGGCTAGCCATTGGCGCCCATTTTTGGAGAATGTGGAAAGCACCACAGGCAGTGGCTGCTCCTCATCCTCTCCAAGCCCATATGAGAGAGAGAGAGAGAGAAAATCACATTTGTTTGAAAGAGGAGAAGGAGAAGGAGGAAGGAGAAGATAAAGAGAAGTACACTCATCCCTCGGCATCCATAGAGAACTGGCTCCAGGACCCCCCCCCATCCCATATATCCCCAGATAGTCGACCAGTAAAATGGCGCAGATGTGAAAACTGGGCCTCTATGTATACTCAGATTTTGCATCCCTAGAAATACTGACTGTGTTTGGTTGGGAAAAAAAATCTGCATATAAGTGGACCCTTGCAGCCTAACCTGGGTTGCTCAAGTGTCAACTACAGTGGTCATAGTAGTTTGTCTCCAAAGTGTTTCTGTTGTTTTTATAACACGCTTTCTCCCTCAGAGCCCTCTTTTCTGCTGTGTAATGTCTTACTCTCTCCTGTCTCTTCACATCCCCCATTTTGCCTCCCTTAGAAGCACCTCAGGCTCTAGATCAGGAGTTTACAAACTTTCCCTGTTAAGTGCCAGAGAGTTAACATCTTAGCCTTTACAGGCCTCTGTGGCAACTCCTCGACTCTGCCATTGCAGCACTAAAGCAGCAGCAGACAGAATGAATGGGTATGGCTGTGTCCCAGTAAAACCTAATTTCAAACGTAGGCACCAGGTCAGATCCAGCTTGCACGCCATGGTTTGCTGACCCCTGCCCTAGACCCCTCCTGACGTCCTGTTCTCCAATAAAACATACAACATCCTGTGTCCCGTCCTCCCAGGATCTGACTCAGGAGGCAAAAAGTACTGCACATCTGATGCTCTGTGGGGTCAGTGGTTAGCATAGTTTGATGTGTTTTCTCCTACAGTCAATAACATATATACATTTAATAAGAAATGCCTCTACCCAAATAGTCACCCATGTGGAGTTTTGGGTGCCCTGGCATATCTGAGTCAGAGAGATTCTGAAGATGGAGGGTGGGGCCTTTTGGCACCTCTCAAAGTATAGACAGATGCCACACCAGCTGCCAACAGAGACGCAGGCCATTGCTAACCATCACACAGTTTCCGTCTCCTGTGTTGTAAATATCACTGGCATTATGGGGTGCTCTCACACTCCTGGGGATTTCCAGGATGCTCCGGGATGCTCCCTCAAGCTCTTGTCTTCTCTTTCAGCAGAGGCAGACCTACCTGACTCAGATCCCAACTTCTCCATGAAAATACACAGTGCCTAAAATATACACTTATTGTTTTGTCCAAGAGAACAGAAAATTCCAAACGATTCAGGAGATTTTTCCCAGAACCGGCAGGAGTACTGGAGAGCAGATGAAGGAAACCCTTAGACCAGCAAAGAAGCAGAGAGGAGGGAGAGGCGGCCCCATTCTGCTGCCAGAGACTCCCACACCCAGATGCAGGCTGAGCGATCCCTCATAATTTAAGTTGACACCCCTCAGCGGAGATGAAAGGAACACCACTCGCTGCTCTCCGACAACAAATGTCAGCATCCCTGGAGGCCATTTAGACACAAACGCAGCATAAATCTGACTCCTAGTGGGGAAGTCCAGAGATTAACTCTCCACGCACAGCCTACCAGAGTGAAATGAATTTGCTTGGCACGAAGTTTGAACATGTTTCTCAGGGCCTTTCTTTCCCCTTTCTTGTAAAAAAAAAATCTGGAATGGTTCAGGGCTGTTGCTCCCCCATCCCGTGCTGTTCCTCCCACTCGTTTATGACATAAGCAATTGCAGATGAAAGACCCAGCCATGGTTTATGGCTTGGAGACAGGGCTGCACTACCTGTGGGGCCTTGGAGATTCATTTCAGGCTGTTGGAAAAATCCCAACAGCCCATAAACAGGGCAAGAGATATCAGAGCTTGGCCCAGGCAGTGAGGGTGAGGGAGGGGGACAAGAGACCCTCATGCTGGGGAAGAGAGAGGCAGAAATGGGCCTCAGATGCTTCCCCGGTGATGAGCCTCATGAATGTCTTCTACATAGGGGAGTAGAGGAAGGATCTGGGTGGAGGGAGGAGGGAAAGAAAGAAGAGAGGAATTTATGAAGACAGGATATATAGAAAGTTATTGCAGTTGCTGCACACAGGACTGGAATTCCATTCTTCCTGAGAATAGTAGTGGTCAACTCTGAATGCAGTGAACTCTAAGTAGCACGTAAAATCAAAGAGGCAAAAAGTTCAGTTAGATATTCTAAAATATCTTTAGAAAAGCGAAGTCTGTGCAGCTACTGTTTTGAAACTGCCTTACAGAGTTCTTCAAGGTGGTCTCAACTCAGTCCAAAATCAGTTTCTGGTAAAAGACTGGTCATGCAACGTGTTCATTGAATCTTGCACTTAATTGGCATTTATTATATCTTTTTGCATGGGGCACTGTGCAAGGACAATCCTGGGGCCAGTAACTATTCAGTCTCTGCTCTCACAGAGACCTCGGATTAATAGAGGACAAAGGTCCTGCAACAAAATAATAACACTGTGCAGAGCAGTTAAGAGAGGGGACGAGGGTGTCACCTGAGCTAAAAAT